TGCATGTGGACAGCAAGTTTTCCCAGCACCATTTGCTCAAGAGGCCATCTTTCCTCCAGTATGTGCTCTTGGTCTTTTTGCCAAAGATTCAAAATAAACTAAAAAAGAGGGGGGCTGGGTCCAGGTGGTGGCACAAACCTGTAATACTAGCACTTGGGAGGCTGAGGCAGGAGGACTGCCATGAGTTCAAGGCCAGCCTGAGCTACAAAGTGAGACCCTGCCTCAAAAAGGGGGGGGGCTGGGGTCAGGTGTGGTGGTTAACACACACCTATAATCCAGCACTCAGGCTGAGGCAAGAGGATAGTAAATTCAAGATCAGCTGAAGTAACTTAGTATTTTAGCAAGATTCTATATTAAAATTTTATTCAACCTGGGTGTGGTGGTGTACCCCTGTAATGGCAACACTTGGGAGGCTGAGGTAGAGGGAATCACTGCAAATTTGAGGCCAGTCTGTGCTACATAGTGTGTTCAAGCCTAGCCTGAATTATATCATGAGACCCTGTCTCAAAAAAAGAAAACAAACAAACAAAAAAGATTTTACTTAAACCATTTCATCACTTCTTTGTTTTTGCTTTGTTTTATTTTTTTGAGACAGGGTCTTACTATGTAGTTGAGACTGCCCTGGAACTCACTATGTAGCCCAGGCTGGTCTCGAACTCACAGCAATCCTCCTGCCTCAGCCTCCCAAGTGCTGGGATTACAGGAATGCGTTATCACACCCGACTATTCCATCATTTCTGAGATACATGCCATTACTTTTCTAAAGTAAAGAATCTCATGTCTGGAAAAACTAATTGGTTCAAGGATATACACTAGTTTAGAGGAGAACTAAGACTCATTCTGATCGATTCTAACTCTGTAACCTGTAAACATTCCACTGTGTCATCCTTTCCTGGATGCACCTACCATCACAGTTTATAACAAAAGTTACTATTTCCGCCACTTGACTATTACCAGAAATAGACTATACATAGAGACATACAGAGAACCTTACCCTTTCCTACCCTTTTATCTTGTTTTATATATTACCACTGTAAGAGGGGCTATGGGAACTCTTACTGCTGTGCCTGTACGTGTGTAGTGCTGGGGATCAAAGCCAGGGCCTCGCAAACGCTAGGCAAGTATTCTACAACTGAGCTACATCCCCAGCCCAATTTCATTTTTTTTCCTCATTGAGTTTACTGGTACTTTTTAGGTATACAGCACAGTTACATTCATTACTGAGATCTTGTACCTTTACATGACAGGTCTTAGTTCTCATTCCCCTCCCCCGTCCCTGCCCTCCCTTCACCCCCTCAGCCAATGTAATCAGTAAATGTCAGAGTTAAATAACATTTCTGAGTTATAAAAAATATTTACTGTAATTGAAAAGTATTTTGTCAATAATCAGCCTTAAAAATATGACACTATTTAGAGACTAAACTACAGAAATATGAAAAACTCTAAGTCACATCCAATAACTAGAAACATTTTATGGTGCAAGGAACATTAGCTTTAACATCAGAACACAGATTCAAGTTCCTGACCCACTGTAATTTGCTGCCACAGGTAAGTTACCATCAAACACCAAGCTAGAAAACAGAAATATAAAATAAAATGGAGATTATACCGATTTTGCCAGTTGTTATGAGAGCTCCATGTTCCAGTGTACATAAGCTGCTTTGTATAATGCCTGGCATGTGATATATATTCAGTAAATATCACTTCCCTTCCTTTCAGATAAAATTCCTTTTGTATCCAAAACGATTTTGCTCAGAACTATAAACACAAAGATTTCCCAACTTTTTTGCAACCAAGATCCAACTTAAATATGATTTATTACTTTTTCTTATTTTTCAAATTAATCAATGACATAACTGCTATGGAGAACATCTAACTACCATAAGAGAAATAATGTGCCTCACAGTCAAAAGCAGTAAGATAATGTTATGGTTAATCTGAGGGTAAATGCATGATTTTGACTGGCTGTTCAAAACACTGAAAACATTAATAAGTACCCCAAGTTCCCTCAAAGGATCTTAGAGAGACAAGAACTCCTGGCTAGAAATTCAAGAAAGAGGGGCTGGGATGGTAGCTCAATGGCAGAACATTTGCCTAGCCTAGATTCAGTCCTCACCACAGGGATTTAAAAAAAAACCGAGGAAAGAATTTGAGCCAGATAGCGATAATATTCGGTGTCACTAGACATTATCCCAGATAGAAAATATTCCATTCCTACATGAAAGGTCAAAAAAAGCCAATGAAAAAGAGGTGTTGTGTTCAGAAGATGCGGCAGTTTAAACCCCACTAAAGAATTCCTCCAGTATTGCTCTTCTCTCCCACAAAGTCTCTACCTTTTTTCAGTCCCAATGCCGTAATCACTAGGAGATACAGGGCAAATAACAATACTTCAGGAATACTTGTTGGCTACCTGACTAAAGGGCAGAAGCAGAAAAGGATTAAGAGGAAGGAAATAAAACCATTGATAAAATTGCTAAATTTGTGTTAGCAATTAATCCTAAAACTCTAACCAAAGATCACAAAGATTGCATAATGTCAATATAATAACAAAATCTACAAATGGAGAGTTCCCAGTTCAGTCTGATTTACTATAGTATTTTATGCTTTGGGAGTTAAGATTTTAGCTTTTTCCAACCTTTTACCTACTCAATAATAACATTGTTGGGATCGAGGTCTTTCCCAGTCCCTTGGTTGACAACTTTCATGGAGAGGGATACTTTTATCCTATCATTTTTCATCTGAAAAACATAAAACAAGAGTCACCAACACTGTTAAGTACACAATTTAGGTTGCTAATCTAAATCTATCTGACTAAGAGTCAAAATTTTCATCATTATAACACTGAGCTCCTCTAATAGCCAAGTTACTGTGCTAGGAACACTGAAGGCAGACTCTGTAGGAAATGGACTTCATCTCATTCCTGTCCCTAGGGGAAAGACAGACATGGTTGCTCAGAAATCCAAGGCCTGCAGAGGTACCAGACATAAAATAAAAGGTGAAGCTGGGTGTGGTGGTGCACCCCTGTAATCCCAGCACTCGGGAGGCTGAGGCAGGAGGATCGCTGAGTTCAAGACCAGCCTGGTCTACAATAGTGAGTTCCAGGTCAGTCTCAACTACATAGTGAGACCCTGTCTCAAAAAGCAAAAAAACAAAAAAGGAAAATAAAAGGTGAAGTTCAGTATAGTTGGTGGTCAGTTCAGAGATCCATAAACCCACAACAGATTTTCAGACATTACTGGAGATTACATCTAGTAGTTCCGGATTTGGTCTAGAGCTTCTTTAAGCATAAAGTCCCTCATGAGTCACACTGCTTCCTGCAGCACATGAAGTTCTTCATGACAGGACCTTTGCGTCAGCTATTCTCTGCCTGCAATGTTCTTCTTCTTCTTTTTTTTTTTGTTGTTTTTTGGATTTTGTTGGTTTTTTGAGACAGGGTCTCACTATGTAGTTGAGACTGACCTGGAACTCAGTGTGTGGCTCAGGCAGGTCTCCAACTTACAAAGATCCTCCTGCTCAGCCTCCTGAGTGCTGGGATTACAGGCGTGCGCCACCACACCCAGTTCTGCAATGCTCCTATTCTAATGTCATACAGTCAGTTCTTTTTCCTTTGGGTCTTTGTTCATATATCATCATCTTTGCCCTTTCCTGACAACTTTATCTAAATCTACTTTTAATATTGTTTGAACTCAATATGGTACTTTATAACTTGTAATCATTTTATGTATATGTTCATTTTTTAAAAATTTGTCTCCTCCATTTATAGTCTTTTTTCCCCCTTCATTTATATTCTATTTGAGCTCCATGGTAGCTGGGATCACGTATGAATGGTTCACTACTGTACCCGCTAATCCTGGTATATATTAAGCACTCAGATATTGTTGAATAGCCCTCATGCTTTCAAGTGAGTTGTTATTGACTTATGGAAGGCAAATTTTACAGACATACACATTGCACCACATTTTTGTAGCTCATGTCATTCCTTTTGAGTCTGCGGGACAATTGGAAGATTAAAATTTAAGACAGATTATTGTGGCAGATTTAAAAATAAAACTACCGGCCACAATTAACAACATTTACACATTTACCATCATAAAATTCCAGAAAATTTCAGCTTTTCCTAGTCCTTTCTAACCACATGAAGCTAGACAGATCCTTACCTCTCGGCCAATAAGCTTCACCCATACTTTGTCTCCGACATCTACTATCTCAGAGGGTTTATCCACCCGACAGGATGACATGTGAGTTCGATGCACCAGACCTAGGCACAAGAAGAAGAAATAAAATAAAGCAGTGGGCGGGGCCGGGGATTTAGCTCAGTGGTTTGGTGGCCTGCCTTGCAAGCGCAAGGACCTGAGTTCAATCCCCGGTACCAAAAAAATAAAATAAAATAAAATAAAGCAGTGGGTATGTATGGTATTTATACTCTAAATAGGCAAGGAGAGAAAAGAAGTTGAAGAATGCAAGAAATACGTAAAGTTTTTCATTGAAAAAGTAAATTAATATAAAAATGCAAATTAAAATAATTTGAGAGCAATTCTGTGTGTGTGTGTGCACATGAGCGCACAGCTGTGGTACTGGGGACTGAACTCAGGGCCTTTTTGCTGAGCCACATCTCTAGCCCCTTTTTATTTCTAGTTTTGAAACAAGGTCTTGATAAGTTGCCCAGGCTGGGCTCCAACTTGTGATTCTCCTGCCTCATTCTCCAAGAGTGCTGGGTTGCAGATAAGTGCCAACATGCCTTGCTTGAGAATGCTTTTAAATTTTTGTTTTGTTTTGTCTTTTTGCAGCACCAGGGATTGAACGCAACACCTTGAGTTTTTGAGGCAGGTGTGGAACCACAGAGCTAAATCCCCGGCCCGAGATTGCTTTTTATACCTAATCAACCAGCAAACATTCTTTAAAATACTGCTTTATTAGGGATATAGTTCAGAGGTGGAGAATGTACTTAGCACTCACTAGGTCCTGGATTCCATCCCTAGCACCAAAAACTATAAATAAAAATGTTTTAATACTTCTTAATGTTAGTAAATGTATGATAAAATAACAGCAATCATATAATACTAATAGAAATACAAGATGGTAAAATTCTTTGAGAGCAAAGGCACAAAGATACTTGTATCTTTGATGCAAGAATATCATCACTGAAGTTTTTTTCTAAACACAACAGAAGCAAAAACTCACAGGCATAAAAAAGTTGCAGCATTGTTCTTTACAAAGGTTAAAAAAATAAGGATCAGAAAACAACTTATATGACCAGTAGCTGGAAAATGGCTCAGCAAAGTATGGTGAGTCTGTCAAGGAAAAATAAAAGCCATCTAAATTACACTTATGAAAAATAATTATAATAAATGTTAAGTGAAAAAGGAAAATATGAACTATCAGTTTTAATTTTTTTTTCTGGTACTGGGGATCGAACTCAGGACCATTTACTTGCCAGGCAGGCATGGTGCCACTGAACTAAAACCCTGGCCCCATTTTTTTCTTTTTCTCTTTTTGGTACCAGGGATCGAATTTGGGGACCTTGTGCTTGTGAGACAGGTGGCAGAACCACTGGGCTAAATCCCTGGCCCCCTGACCCCATTTTTAAACTATTAAGTTAGCAAGATATTTTTTAAAATAACAATATCCACGCTGGAAATTTAGCTCAGTGGTTCTGCTGCCTGCCTTGCAAGCGCAAGGTCCCAAGTTCGATCCTTGGTACCAAAATTAAAAAAAAAAAAAAAATCTAATATTGGTGAAAGTACAGTAAAATAAGAAATATTACTAAAGTTAGAATCAACTTTTGAATATCACTTCACAATATCTTTGAAGAATGATAAGTCTGGGGCCAGGGATTTAGCTCAGTGATTCCACTGCCTGCTTCACAAGCACAAGGACCTGAGTTCAATCCCCAGCACCAAAAAAAAAAAAAGAATGATAGGTCTAGCCAGGTGTGGTAGTACATGCCTGTAATCCCAGCACTTGGGAGGCTGAGGCAGGAGGATTGCTGTGAGTTTAAGACCAGCTGGGCTACATATGAGTTCCAGGTTACTCTCAACTACATAATGAGACCCTGTTTCAAAAAAAAAAAAAAGATAGGCCTGGGTTGGGGATTTAGCTTAGTGGCACCGCACATGCTTCGCAAGTGCAAGGTCCTGAGTTTGATTCCCTATACCAGGGCAAAAATAAAATAAAATAAAACAAAACGAAGAAGGACAGGTCTAGCCAGGTGTGGTGGTACACGCCTATAATCCCAGCACTCGGGAAGCTGAGGCAGGAGACCAGCCTGGGATACATAGTGAGTTCCAGGTCAGTCTCAACTACATAGTGAGACCCTGTCTCAAAAAAACTCCCCAAAAAAGAATGACAGGATGACAGGTCTGCATACTCCTAAGTGAAATAAATTGAACACACATGTTTAAATATTGTATTGTTGGGGCCAGGGATTTAGCTTCTGTTGCCTGCCTCAGATACGCAAGGTCCCAAGTTCAATCCCTGGTACCCCCCCTCAAAAAAAACTGTATTGTTTCTCCAATGTGAGAAACCAAAAGTGGAAATAAGAACTGAACTGTATAACGGATGTTGGGAAATGGAAAGAAAGTGTTCAAGTGGGAAAGCGAACAAAGGAGGAGGCAGGGAGAAAGGGACAAGAAAAAAAGTGAAAATGGAAGGAAAAATGAAAATAAAGCTTTTGTACACAGGGACGGGACAGGGCTTGAAGGGGAATGGGATAAAATAAAATTTATTTTTGGTACTGGGGATCGAACTCAGAGCCTTGCGCTTACAAAGGCAGGCGGCAGAACCACTGAGCTAAATGCCCGGCCCTAAAATTTATTTTTTAAAAAAGAACAAGTCTGGGGGTATAGTTCAATAATAAAATGCTCCCCTAGCATGTGTGAAGCTCTGAGTTTGATTCCTCAGCACCACAAAAGAAATAAACAAATAAAATTAAATAATAATTTAATAATATTTGAACATCAGTTTCCTGCCTGTCCAAGGTCCTTTGCTAAGGAGAACCACCACCTCACATTCTAATCTGGTCAGTCTTTATAATTTGGCTGAATTGGACCTAACCCCTAATTAAAGGAAAAATACACAGGGTGCCTCAATGTACAGAATTTCATTTCCCTGGCCAAAGGAATTGGTTCAGAGATAGGCAAGAAACCAGCTAAATCAACAACCAACCAACCAACCAACCAACCACCTTTTTCAAAACTTAAGGATCAGAAATCACAAGAAACTGCAATCTTCATCTTTACCACAAGATGGCAATAGTTTGCCAGAGAGAAATAAAGCACTTAGTAAACAGCAGATAAACAATGAGCACTTGATAATAACCAATTCATTCATCAAATCCCCAGCAAGACTGTCCAAAGTATTTCCTGACTGTTTCTGCCCGTTGCAGCCACGAATTCTGACGACTAACTGATTTCACCACAATTACTTCTGAGACTCTGTCCAAAGGAAATAATCTTTTTTCTTGCTTGCTGCTAACAGAATTGCAGTTCAAGCAATTCTCTTGCCTCAGCCTCCAGAGGTCCTGGGACTACAGTTAAATGCCACCACACTTGGCTAAATGTGTTAAGACAAGAAAATTTGGAAACAACATCTTATGCAAGAGCAATGATTGAGTCAGAGTTAAGGTACAGTCACTTGAAAGTTTTTTCAAAAGATTATGTAAAAAACATACCAATAATTCATCCTTTAGGAAATACTATGTGCCTACTATGTTGAACACTGTAAGAGTCTATCATTTTTCCATGCTAAAAACAAAAGTACAATGCAAAATTCATACAATTACAAATATTTTAAAAATATTTTTAAAATTGGAAAGAAATGACATAAAATGTGAACAATGGGCATAGTATTACAGGTTAACATTCACTTCTTTTCAAAATGTTTTCATAATAGATAAAATTACTTCTATTAAAAAAATGAAAATAATTAAACAATTATTTTGAATAGCCAAAATAAACAAGGAATTATGTCTAAAATAACTGTCTTCTCTAAACACTCCTAAAGTTGCTTGGGAGACTTAGTCATGATTATTTTCTTTCTCTCTCTCCTCCCTCCCGCCTCTGACCCCCCTTCTCTCTCTCGGGGGTGGTGGTGCAGGTGCCCATACATGCCTGAAACTCAAAGCATCTACCTTTCTTTACAATGTTCCTATTACAAGTAACTGTTTTCTGTATGCATGTTCACTGGGCTTCTCATACTTATACATCAGCTGATTCTAGAGGTTCACAGCCTACCTATCTGAATAAATCCTGGGCCTTGAAAATGTTTTATATATTATATAAACTATATTTTAAATTTTGGGTCAACAAATACTCTCCAAATTGGGTGGAATTCATGCAGATGGTGTTGTACCACCCCTATGACCTGCTTCATTAGAAAATTTGAAGAAAAAAAGTCAGATCCCCTAAAGAAAAAGGAAATCTTTTACCTTGATTTTTTTTTTGGCTGCAACTGCCTCCAACAGTTAAAATTCACCTTTCCTCTACTGTTAGTGGAAGTTGTGAAGGAAATTAATTTTGAGCCTAATATGCTCATGAGAACATTATCTTTCTCTATAACAGAAAGTTTATTTATTTTATTTTTGGTACTGGGGATTGAACTGAGGGACCTTGTACTTGCAAGGCAGGCAGTGGAACCACTGAGCTAAATCCCAGGCCTTTAAACAGAAAGTTTATTTATTTTATTTTCTTTTTTGTTTGTTTGTTTTTTGAGACAGGGTCTCACTATGTAGTTCAGACTGACCTGGAACTCACTATGTAGCCCAGGCTAGTCTCGAACTCACAGCGATCCTCCTGCCTCAGCCTCCCTCAGCCTCCCTCGTGCTGGGATTACAGGCATGCACCATCACGCCAGGCCTATTTATTTTATTTTCTATTTTTGGTACCAGGGATCGAACTTGGGACCTTGTACTTGCAAGGCAGGTGGTGGAACCACTGAGCTAAATCCTCGGCCCCCAAACAGAAAGTTTATTTATTGAAGTATCAAAAAGAAAAAATGGCATCAACTTGTCCTCCCACCTGATACCAAAGTATATTCTTTCAATCCAGGCTTCTCTCATGGATATACATAGGTATTTTACAGAAAAAAGCTGGAAACAGATTAAAATGATTATATAGGGAATCTGTATGGCAAAGTCATTAAATGTTTACAGAAGTATTTTAAAAATGTAAAAAGCTACACTGTGTGTGTGTGTGTGTGTGTGTGTGTGTGTGTGTGTGTGTATGTGTGTGAAGGAACTGACCTTGGAGCCTTTGTGTTAAA